AATAACATATACAACCCCCAATTTGAAATTTAATGAGTTTACATGCCCAAAGCCAATAACAAAAGAATCTTATGTAAGATAGAGATGGACATTAAAATAATGATTTTAATTTCTGACATACCCAGCTAAAATTATTTTCACATAAGATATATATATATATATATATATATCACAACACATGAACAATAAGTGACCATTTGGTCCTACAAGGATATCCTTGCATGACAACCCTTAAGAAAAGTAAACATTTAAACCCACCCTATATTTTTCAGGAAACCAGTGATTCCCCATTTAAATGCTTATAAAAGTGCTGGCTTTTACTACTGCTAATGAAACTCATTCCATAAGCCAATCACTCTGTAGAAAAAATAAAACTGTCTTAACTGGAATCTAGCCTATCTTTTCCAAATCTTAAACTTGTTTCCTCTCATTCCTGTTGTCTGCAGAATACAGCACAAAAAAGTCACAATACTTTATCAATCACCCAAAATAATCAGTAACCTTCAATAAGATTACTTCTTACTCTTATTTTCTTAGTAGTAAAGTTTAGAGATATTACACTAATCCCACAATATAACCCTTCAATTTCCACACATACTCTTATGGATAACCTTTCAGATAGATCATTACTACAAAAAGGAGGTTGAGGTTGGACCTCCCCCTCCCATCTAATTTTGGAAAAACAATCAAAGCAGCACAACTTGACACAGTGGTACAGGATGACCTGAGGAAGGTCATGGGGTGGGTGGAGTGGGGGATTGACCCCACATCTAATTTCATATTGATAGAATTCTTAAAAACACTATGTCTTTCTTTTCAGTATTGGTACCTTTATGTATTTTTAATTGCAATTTTAGTGTTTATTATGTTAGGGAAAAAAAATAGAAGTACAATTTCATATCCTTTGTTATAAACCCGTCCAACAAACGGGTACACCAGCTAGTCAGAAATATCTATTTATATCTATCATTAGATCATGAATTAGATATCTATACAATTAACTGTTCTAAAAGTGAAGATAGACTGCAAACCTATAAAGCACTTATATCAATATCATTCCCTTTTATTTCACTGTCAAAGATAACATAAGCATCAAATAGCAATCAAAACCTTTACTGTTCACTGTTCTTGGAAAAAAAACAAAAGTTGATGATAGGTCACTTTCAAAGACACAATAAGGAAAATGGTTCAGATGTACTGATACTGATGTACTGAAAGTTAGCAGAGTTTATCAAAAAATATCTGATGTACTGAAAGTTAGCAGAGTTTATCAAAAAATGTTTTTCATGATGGATGACTGAATGAGAACTGTTTCTAAAAATTACTAATATTCTATTTAAACACATATATCTTACATAGCCACTCTACTTACCTAAACCAATATTGGATATACGAAGTCCTGATTTTCCTAGGTTTCTGAAAAAGTATGAACATTTTCAACCACAGTATTAAATTATACTGGGAACAGTTCTACTCAGTAGTTTGGATCAATGGTTCTGAACCTTTTTGAATCTATGGAACTCTTCTGGCACCAAATTTGTGTCGTGGAACCCTTCACAGCATCCATTACAAAAACATTACTACAATACTATATCAATAATTCCAGACACAGTACATACATTTAATGCAGTTATATACCCACACACATGTGTAAAACATGAAAAATTTCTCAAGCCAATTACTTGGGCACACACACACATATAACGAGAAGTGTGCTCTCTCAAATAATAAAAGTTTATATAACTCAAGCACCTGTTTGTACCTAGTCTCACTCACTAATTTAAAACAATGCAATGACTTGTTGTTATGTTGTGTCATTATGCAACCTGCTACAGTAATAAAGAAATATGATGTAGTCAAGGTTGCAATTATGGGACTAATATGTAGTTATGCATTAGAATATGTGGAACTCTTGCATTTTATGGAACCCCAATAACTTGCAAAACCCCTGGATGTCTGTCAAAGAACCTGAAGGTTTCACAGAACTCAGGTTGAGAAACACAGGTCTAGACTGTTTTTAACCACATTCTTTGAGCTGGAGCTTTTAAAATAAATAAAAAAAGACTACACTCTGACACCAGTAATTAATTAATGCATTTGAGTTGAATCATTCCATCTAAACCAATCAAGCAGCATCGTTTAAAAACAATCAAGTCAGGTCTTCTCCAGTAATGTAGTTAATATAGTACCACATATACATGCATGTCTACATATGCAAATTCTAGAAATTAAGACCTTAAAAGATGAGTAAAAATCAGCCCAATATTCCCATTTGTGGTTAGCTAACTTTAAGTACAATAATCTAACCACACTTACAATAATGTAAATAATTTCATAAAACTGAGAGAATAATATTTCAGTTAGTTAACTGTGTTCAGTTGTACCAGAGTATTATAACATGACACAAACAAAAAATTAGTATGTATAATATATCCTATGGAAAACAAGGAACCATTATTAATAATTAATGAATGTTAGTTTATCTATCAATGGTAAATTACAACAAATTACTACAGCTATAATTAAAAATAATATACTATAGAGATGTTGAAAAGGAAAATACAATTTTACTTTTCCTTGAACCTGAATTTTCCAAATGTTCTCTTTCTTTAATGCTACCAACTTTACAAAATTATAATGCTGTATATCTTACCTATACCAAACATATCTCTTAAACTAAGCTGTTTGAATTTCCTCTGCCTAGGTTTAACCTTCAGATAATAAACTGACTATAAAAATGAAATTTCAATTTATTATTTTAACTGATATGTTGTCCAACTAAAATGAAAAATCATGTGTATTCTACATTCTAAAAAATTTTACAATTATCATGACACACTAGGAATTACCTGTATCGGAGGCCACTCAGATTTGATAGTGAAGCCTGTCTACAGAAAGGGTTAGACATCAATGGACTGTCGATGGACATCATTCCTTCTTCCATACACTCTAAACTAGCTATTGGAGCATGAACCCTGTTACCACAAAGCAAAAACTAAATTAAATTCCAAGAAAATAATAGCTGCTGCATTTATTTCTAACATTCATACATAACTGATAATGACTTAGTAACTTGTATGATGGAATTCTCTTAACTATCATTAAGTCAAAGCTGTCTAGTAATAATCAGTCAACTGTTTCCAGTCTTTAAATATTGTATCTTACTGAAAAATGCAAAAAATGTTTCTTAATATTTCATATTGTCATTGCAGCTTTCTCTATGAATATAAAAATATGGTTTCAGGGATAAGACAAACACTAAGACAAAATCATGAACAATAAGCAGATCAAACCTACCTATTCTGTATAATGACATTGACTTTGTTGTGTTCCGATTTGATACTCATAGGTGATTTGTTCACCACTTCTGGGAACTTTGAAGTTGAACTCTCAACAGTTTCTGACCTGTTTATATAATCATTACATCCTGATTTAAAAAAAGTATGATATTTCTCCTTATACACTCAATTTGATAATGTTTAACACTTGCATTCATGCATACCTTATGGCAAACTGAATTAAATAGGAAAGAAAAGATATACAAGATGCAATTAAAAAATTGTCTCTCACATACATAGATATGTTTCTCTGTAAATTTTAACATACAAGTAACTGCAGATACATGTAAATCACTAAAAATGTGTTTGAATAACACAACTTATTTAAAAGTTGAAATACTCAACATGTTATTAGAATTTGACAAAATTACATTTTTCATAAAACATATTATCCCTTCTTTTTCAAACATTTTACATAAAATCTCTGTCAAATTTATTTTTTATGAAATCTACCTTAGAAATGTTATGTTCCACCACTTAAAGATCTTAATAACTTATATATATATATATATATAAGGCTTCTATTTTTCAGTGTTTATTTTTAACTGTTTTATAGTTTTATTTAAATAAATATCTCAGAATTGGCATTTTTTAGGGGTTTTTATTTTTATGTAGATACCTTAAAATCAGCATTTTTCAGAGTTTTTCCTTTTAATGCTATAATGAGTATAATAATATATCGTACATGTTCTGCACATTAATTTCTCTTATGACAGTAATAGCAGGTACGAAACATAGTTATATTTCTGTTAAAGATTTATAAGAACAGTTAATACCTTATACGAAATTATTAAAACAAGCTTACCACTAACAGACGAAATGTGTTTCTTATCCTTCAGAGTAATATTCCAAGGCAATATAGTTTATATGTAAAGGGATGTTAATGTAACATCAACTGAATAATCATTTCTGGTGTTTATTGGAAAAACACCGATTTCTTTTTTTGTTTTTGTATCAGGGGTTTTTTATCAATTAAAACCTATAATCAGAAGCACTGTGTATAAACACTAAATATTTCCTTCACATCAAAAGTTTCTTAAGCAATCTAGCACCTTCATTTGTTTTTTTTGTTTTTTTAAACAACCTAACAACTAAGGACAGGCAGACAAACACAATGACTCATAAAGCCACTGACTCTGTCATGGAAAACAGCTGAGGTGGTTACCTGTTGCTTTTTTAAATTAATGCATATTATTGTTCAACATACACAGGTTAACAAACAAAGTAAGCATATTGTTGCAGTAATGAAGCATGAGTGACTAGCGTTCAAATTCACAGTCCATCACACTAACCAATAGTCCACAACTGGTCTAATCTTACACTTCTAGAAATAAAATACATTAATAATTGTATGTCTATAATTTCATAGCTTGTTAAACTACGATATTTTGTCTCTCTTGCCTTTTATAACTTTTTCATTCTTTATAATAATAAAAAAATTTTGCTGATGCAAAATTTTTTAACATGTAAATAATACCTAAATCAATATTACATCATGTTCATCTTATAGTTAAATTAACCCATCAAAACCTGTCCAACATTGATAAATATTTCAGTGGACATTTCTTAAAAATAAATAAATAAAATCTCATTGCACCTGACACTGGAGTATGTAAAAATATCAGTAAGGTATAAACTCTTTTTGACTCTGAAATATAATATTCCCCCATTATTCAGTTTCTGATAAATATTAATATCAATCAATCATTCTGAGCTTTGTCCTTTTACTTGTAAAATCACTTCAAATACTTACAGAACTCTACCTGTTAGAAGTAAAAACTATAATTTATGGATCTTCATTTAAAAAAAAAGTTAATATTATACTTTTTCAACGACTAAAAATGTCATAAGTTATGTTGTAATATTTTAAGTACTATAAAAATATCACTGGTGAAATATAATGTTATGCACTAGTTGATATTTAATGATTTATGGATGGAAGACCTGCTGCCAATGTACATATTCTGAGAGGTTAAAGATTTTAACAAACCACACTAGAATTAAGATGATTGAGTGCATTAATACTGAAGTGATAAGAGCTGAATTTAGCAAACTAGAAGGTGATAGCCAGATAAACTAGTTACAAGCTCTGTAATTAAGATATTTTCAGCCACTAAAAAAAATTTTCAAAAAATTGTGCTTTTAATAAAAGTTTATTGGTAATGAAGATTCCTGAATTGGAGAATATGTTTATTAGATAGAAAAGAGTGAGAGAGCGTTTACAACCCAAATATTGGGCTGGGTCCCTTTTTTACAGTTTGACACTGACCATTAAGCCATGTTACTACTAGAATCAACTGTATAATGGTAGGTGTCAAATACTGTGTATCTTTACAAGTACTACTAGTAAAGATTCACAGTATTCAAACACCAAAAGAACTCCCAACCAGGTTATAATTAATAAAATAATATTATCGAAAACTACAGCCATAAGAATTGTTCCAAAGTTAATGTAACTTCAAAAAAATAAACCCTAATTTAAGCTTTCAAATTTTAATATTGATAATGTTACAAAAAAAAGAGTATATTTAATTCATTATAAATTAAAACACACAACTCAAGAAGTTTGTTTACTGTGATAAACCAAGTTTATATTTGAAATACAAAATTTGACGAAGATAAAATACTGATACTAGTGATAGAATAAGAAATTAAAAATTTAGTTTGTTTCTTTGTAGTTAAACAAAGAACTACACAATGGGCTACCTCAGTATCTGCGCCCACCACAGGTATCGAAACTCGGTCTTTAGCGTGTTGAGCCTTCAGACTTACCGCTGAGCCACTGGCGTATAAAATTCAGTAAAAACGCAAGCGCTCCAGTAACAATATAACATACTAATACAGGACTTACGAAAATATAAGATGTTCACACAAGCCTGTATCTAGTTTTTCAAATAATTTTTCAAACAATATTTTTACTGACTCTAGCACTTCCTTCTCATCAGTGCTTGATCTACGTGTTATGTTCAATTTCCACTTGCAACAACAAAGCCAAATCAATTCTGCTGTTAAATTCCGGTTATCTTCGATCGTAAAGGATAGAGGGCGCTGAATTATTAGAGTTGGGTCTACAGATAATCAAAAGCGTCTACGAGTACGAGTAACGAGTTTCACGACATAATGACATGCACAATGAGTACGTTTGGTCGCGTTGTTGTTCACGAACTGGGAGGGTCATGTGATATCTAGACCTCTTCCTCCCTTCTTTACGATTTCTACTTTCACTGACAAATGCTATAGGATCATTTCACGAAATCAGGGATCAAACACTAAGTTAAAAACACTGATTCTTTTTATCTCTTCAGGGCCATGCACAATGAATCAATTGGTAGAGTCCACAGTGGAATTTCGCGCTTTTATGCTTATATACAATGAATTTGTGACGTAAAAATCAGGTCATGGCACTTACGTTAAGTTATACACAGCGTGGTCACAAGTAAATAGACACCACCTTTTCAGAAAAAATTAAAACTTTCAGTCATATTCATATGAATTGATATATTTATAATTAGATAGTAGATAGTAGATCTTCCTTTTGCTTCGTGGAGTTCGTTCATGCTTTGGGGCATCGTGAGAATCATCTCGTCAATTTTAGATTGTGGGATTTTCGCCCACTCTTGCTTCAAAACTTGGAGTAGATTAGATCGCTCTTCGAAGTTGGTTTTTTTTTGTTGTTTCTTGACTTGCCGGTCGAGTATGGCCCAGAGGTTTTCGATGGGGTTCATGTCAGGAGATTGGCTCGGCCAGGACAACTTCTGGATACCATTTTCTTCCTGCCACTTTTGGGTGTTTCTTGTTGTGTGACATGGTGCTCCATCTTTCTGG